ATGTATAACGAGTTGCGGAGGATTCAAATGAAAAAGTTCGGCTATTTATTCCATAAGCGTGATCAACATTCAGTCGATAGAATATTAAATTTATCGACTGCAATCACTAGCTGCTCGCAAGCAAGCAATACTTTTGCGCAATGAACTGCCACTTTTCTCCGTCTTTAAAAAAAACAGACTATACATATAATAAACTCAGTATTGGTTGCATTTATGGAACTGTTAGGGACAGGCGTGTAGCCTACCATCACGCGCACGAGTTGTTTGTACCGTTATTTGATATTATATAAAATTAAATAATTTGAAGATAATAATTCACCTTTAAGGGTGGCCAGCAGATTAAGCTCCGCTGCATACGCAGTCCGCAGAATACGTGAACTTACCGATGTTAGTACAGCTAGACTAGTTTACTTTAGTTACTTCCATAGTATAATGTCCTACGGGATTTTCATGTGGGGTAAAGCGGCAGATATTCAAACCATATTTGTAATGCAAAAACGAGCGATTCGTTCTGTGTACCGTCTAGGCTCTCGGGTTTATCTTTTAAGGAGACTGGTATCATGACTGTGGCACCACAGTACATTTACTCAAATATTTTATATCCCCGTAAAAATATACATAATTGCAATAAGAAAGAAAATATCCTTACCTTAGAGCTAAGTCCAAACTCATGGTACCACGATTTCGTTTAACCAAGTTAAACGACTCTTTTATGGTGAACTGCTTACGTTTTTACAATACGATTCCGACGGTATATTAAGATTATCATTTTCTAAGTTTAAAAACTACTTTAAAAATATTTTGATTGAAAAGTCATATTACAAAATTGAAGACTAGTATAAATGTTTGTTTGAAAAAACAAATATACGCGATTTAAATCCGAAAAAATAGTTTCAATTTCCTAACTCTTTTAAACTTCAAACTGCCATATCTTGAAAGTGACTGGATGTACATTGGATCCTTTTTGTTTAACGACGTCCAATTAGTAGAAGGAGCTTATAAACTATGTATAAGTAGATTATAGTAGACCTCCAGTGATCAGTGATTTATTTATTTAATTGCATGCATAGCATAAAGAAATGTATCTCGTGCAAATGTGGACTCTATTAGGGTGTTGCAATCTAATAATAATAATAATAATAACGCACACACTCAACATATCCCCGCACTAGGGGAACCCTGAGTCGCGGGTGCCGTGGACACACACATAGACAACCACAAATTACACCCAAACTCACGAGAGAAATAAATGTAGGCCATACAAATATTTCTCCCGGCCCGGGAATCGAACCCGGGGACCTCTGCGTGGCCGTCCGGTATGGTAACCGTCCGGCCACGGAGGCAGTTTGAATTGAATCTGGGTGTTGCTAAGCAATAATATTTTAATTATTAATATAAAGATCGAACTTACACTTACAAAAAAAATCCTTCGATCCGGCCGGATTCGAACCGACGCGACGTCTTCTAGCAAACCGCGTTAGACGCTATGCCAACTAAGCCACGGAACGAACCAGCGGACCTCACCTCTTTCATCTTTGTATTTGGTTTTTTGAACGACTTTTTTTTCTGTTAGATCTTTGTAATAATAATTTATAACAATCTAGTGGAGTAATTTCACAAAAATAATTGACTATCATGGTGGTCAAACATCGTGATATTCAGTAATATAAAAAAGAGCAATAACATGGCAGACAACTTGAGCATAGTTTTGCGAAAATGGCACCTAAAGAGATTTCCGTTGTTTTTGGTAGTTTCCTCTAAAATCTACTTAGCATACTACTGATTCCACTGTTGGCTGTCTGCCTCTTGGTATGGTTTCCATAGTCCTCGGTTTGCGGCGATTCTGTTCCAGGTCGACCCTGCCATCTGTTTAATTTCGTCCGGCCTTCTCTCAGGTGGTCTGCCCACACTTCGTCTTTCCAAACGGAACAGAACAGAACCCCTGGGCGTCATCTGTCGTCGTCTCTGCGACATATCCATTGTCCAGCCACTTCTGTTTGTGTTTGGCAACCCGTACGCCCACATGCCTTTGGTGCATTACTTATACCTGGCGACCTTGTATCTATACCGCGAGTTACAAATACAATATTTTTGGTTACATTTAATATAGACAGAGGATGCGACTTTAATCCTAAATGGGAAAATATCGCAGCGTAAGAGAATCGTCGCTGAGTTCCTGAGTATGTATAAGATATGAACATAACACAGTCGACAAGAATCTAGTAATGTCTTCATTGAACCGAGCACAATGGTGTTGACACTAACCCACTGAGCTCGCGCAATTACTCGTACCTTCTACTCTACATTTGAGTGGAAAAGTGTTACGAAAAATTTTGGATTTTTGCGATTGAACATTGATTCAATATTATATTGAATTCACAAAAATTAATAATGAAGTAAGACATTCAAAGTCTTGACTGTAGACCTACTACTGTATGAGAGAGCCCTGTTGGTATTCTTCTAAAGGTTTATCATTTCTTGACGTATAAGGAACTGTTTACAAAATTTTAAAAGTGGTCACCAAGTCTAAACACATTAGGGTCAGCAACAAAGTATTGAGTATTGAAGAGAGTGATAAAAAGTTGACGATGGAGGAAATCAGCATTCTGTATTTATTGTAAAAAAGTTTTTTTTTATTCAAATGTAAGTGTGCATTTGACCTCTATCTAATTTGGTGGAAAGTGACGATGATGTCGACGATAGAGCGTGCACACCTAAATAATGCCTATTCATTTTCGCCTTGAAAAGGCCCAAGTTATAGCGTTCAGGGAACAAGTATGCAGGCAGGGAATTCCACTCCATAGCCGTTCGCCATATAAATGTGGAAGCGTAACGCTTCGTGTGAATCTTTGGAATATCCACAACATAGGTGTGAAACCCAAGCCTACGTCTATTCCACCGGTAATCGAAAGGGGAAGGCGGAATTAAATCGTGGAATTCCATCGCACACTCTCCGCGATATATCCTGTAGAATAAGCAGGCAACTTTATGGCGTTGTTAAAGGCTCTGCAGCTTCGGCTCTACTAATTCCGAGTCACCTATAAGCCTCTTTGAAACGCTTGCCGATTGAATCCAAGGTGGCCAATTGGTATGTAGCAGAGCCATCCCATTTGTCAATCTGCTAATGTAAAAGTTGAACTCAACTACAACACGAGTGAAGAAAAACTCATAGATTTCTCACAGGTGGCATTACGGCAAAAAAGCCGATAACCAAAAAAATATTTGTAACGAAATTAGTAAGGTCTACATACAGACAATGGTTCGAGTCCTGACAGATCGAAGGATTTTTGTGTTTGCGCTGTGTTTTAATTTAATAATTATAACAATCCAATGATTTATTTAGAAAAATGCTATAAGTAGTGAAATAATACGATGTTGTTATTTTTTTATAATACTAAGTGACGAGGCGAATACGTCGTGCGCATGGTGGTAAACGACACGCCTGCTCCTAACGTGCCACTCAGAGCTTTAAATTACAAAGATCTGAGGGGCACTGCCACTGCACCCGACACCCTGACTCCTTATTACTTACACACACACACACTCTAAGTAAACCTCGAAGAAACGTTAAGTCCTTCCCGCATTGGGCCAGCGCTGTAGGCAAAGTCAAAGTCGAAGACAAATAGTCATTTATTCCATAGATAAAATGATTACACTTGAAAACGTCGTTTTTTAAGCTTCTGCTCGTTCACTACACTGACCTCTCTTGAGAAGATCGAGCAAGAAACTCTAGGTATTACTCTTTTCAAATAAACTTAAACGATATGGAATACATTTTGAATCATATTTGTGTGAAATCTAGACTCATTGTCTTTCCATACATTTTTATCTAAGACGTAGTCTTCAATTTTGTAATATGACTTTTCAATTAAAATACTTTTAATGTAAGTTTTAAACTTAGAAAACGGTAATCTTAATATATGCTCCGGAATCTTATTGTAAAAACGTGTAGAATTGCCCATAAATGAATCGTTTACCTTAGTTAAACGAAATCGGGGTACCATGAGTTATACTTAATTCTAAGGTTAATATTATGAATATCTTCTTTCTTAACGAAATTATGTATATTTTTACGGGTATACAAAATATTTGAGTGAATGTACTGTGATGTGGCATGATACCAGTCTCCTTAAACTTATCTCTGAGAGAAATCCGAGAACCTGAACGGTACACAGAACGGATCACTCGTTTTTGCAACATAAATATAGTTTGTAATATCTGCCTGACTGGTCTAACTCCAAATAAATAAAAAAAGAACCATCGAGATAAAGTTATCAGTATGCTTAAATTATGCATTAAATAATACTCCAGTAACTATGACAAAATCCAATAAACACCTAACTTTTATATTAAGTAAACATGTGACATTTATATACTTTTAGATAACAGTATTTTTGAGTGCCTAGTTTCATTTCAATCTGTGTTTATCAGCCAACGTAACCACTCGAATCTGCTGTCATAAGTCATTTTGGTTTTGATATTTCAAGTAAGTTAACTAAATCGAAGTTGCTTTTTTTGCAGTTATCCAATGCTATGTTAATAGGGTATTCTAATTAATTTCTTTTAATTGCGTAACGTACATGTAACCAAATACTGGCGCAACTCATAATTGTGTAATTGAGAAGACATGATTTGAAAGTACAAAATTATAAGAAAAATCGAATTGAGAACCTCCTCCTTTTTTTGAAATCGGTTAAAATAAATATATATTCTCGTTTATAAATGGATCACTAAGTATTATGTATAATTAAAAATAATCACATTATTAGTATTTTGAAAAATTTGCAAATCGTGTTTTCTTAATTCCGCAATATTAAGTTACTACGGTATTTTGTTTAGTGTGCGATAAATGAATAGTTTTACTTTTGTTTTGAAACAGAAAAAAAAAAACAATATTATTTTTCGCGCACTTCTGTTCTTACTTGTATCAGATGATCGTTGACGAGCTGGTTATTCAGAGACTATATAAGGCTTACTACATACCTTACACAACCGTAGTTCTCGCCGACTTCCAGCCAGTTGCAGTTCGATATTTAAATTGAAATTAATTTTTTTTATCGCCTTGCTGAATTGCATTTTTTTTAAATCACCCGATCACGATACCAGTAGAACAGTGTTGTTGTAGTAAAAAATGGCGAATATTTTTAAAATCCTAAGATGTGCCATTATTTTGTTAATAGCAGACAGCACTATGGTCAATTTTAGGGTGCTAGCGAGAGCAATGTCTACGGTGGCGAAGTGTTTTGAAGCCAATGGCGTAGTGCCTGATGTCATCCCGACGGCACCGACTGCTTTGGCCACTGTAAGTATCGTTATTTGGCTATATTTTTATGTATCGAATGTTTTTAATGTTCAAGCTTTGCACAACCAGCTTGTTTTTTTCTTACTACACTACCTTTCATACATCTTATGTTTTTTTTATAATACCAAGCGAAGTAAGTGATGGACAAGTCGTGCGCCTGGTGGTAAGCGACACGCCGATCCATAACAGTTGCAGTGCCACTCAGAGCTTTAAATCGCAAAGATATATAAGGGGCACTGCCACTGGGCCCGTCACCTTGAGACATAAGTTGACAAGTCCGATGAGCCTGTAATCTCACCAGCACCGGAACGCAGTAATGCTCACATTACTGCTTGGCGGCTGAAATAGGTAACGTGGCTACTGCTACTAAATGCTTGCTCTGTGAGTGCTGGTTGAGTAAGTCCCGGATCTCGGTAGGTAATTTGAGAAATGTATTTCTCTAAACTGGTTCTGTATTGGGTGTTCTGAATAGTGCCCCGGAATGAGTTCCGTTGCTTTGGTACTCATATTGCAGACTTACTTATCGTATCCATTTCATAGATTGGCAACCCTTATTTATTTATTTAGAGTACTTATTTCTGCAAAATTCAGTACTACAGAATCTTTATTGTTACGGATAACGTATATTGGGTAAATTTTTTCTTGATATCGTTTCCGATGCCAATTACTTTTGAATAACATATCTATTTATTTTTATTACTTATGACAACTATCCCAGAGCGTTAATGTTAGTGCACGTTATTAGATTAGTTAATAGTTGTAACGTTATAATTCATAAGTCATTTGCTTGTGTAAACACTGATTGTATATGTAGAAGTAACAGAATAAGTATAATTTTTAAGTTTTATTTATTTTTACGATGTTTGATCACCATGATATTCAATTATGATGGCCTCCGTAGTCGAGTGGCTCGCACACCGGTTTTCATGCTGTCGCCATCTCTTGAGGACTTGAGGTCCCGGGTTCGATCCACGGCCGGGTCAGTGTTGACAACTAACATTTCTATGTTGTCTCGGGCACAGACATATATTTAGATAGACGCCGCAAGTGTCCAATGTAAGTGAAATACGCTTAGTTGCCACTGCTACACTTCAGAACGAGCTCGACCGTTGTCGTAGATAAACAACAGTCGAAAACGCGAAAAATGCATAATTGTGCCATTATAAACTACAAAAGCACTATAACTGTGGGTAAACGAGTAAACAGGGACGTTTCCTTCCACGGGCAAGTCATTTTGTAATCAGATTTATTTTGAAAACAAAATTTCGAGAAAACAAATATGCAACCAAGTGTATGGTCTTATGATTTGTAATACATTGCGGCTTATACATAATGCTATACATTTGCAATCCTTTGTTAATACGACATGAATATCGAACGACCGCACTTTTGTATAATTTCTTTATTTTATTTCTAATGCATTAAGTTTCGTGGTACGTTTCCGATTTCCATAACACAAGTGCTTTAGCTACTTAGTTTGGGATCAGAACAACGTACCTATATGATGTTGTCTAATATTTATATATCTATATATGAATTCTTTTCTCTAGTTTGTAATAATTATTAATACAAAGATCGAACACTAAGAAAAATTACCTTTGAAAATTCTGTATTCAAACCAGCGTCCTCCAGCAAACCGCGCCAGATGCTATGCCAGCTAAGCCACGGAACGAACTAACAGACCTCACGAATGTATCTATGCGCTTGTAGCAGGTCTTTGCTTTTAGTTTGTAAAGGTCTGACATGGTTTGCTGGAAGACGTTGATTCGAATCCATCCGGATCGAGGATTTTTTATTAGTGTTGGATCTTGTATTAATAATTAAAATAAGTATAGTTTCGCGGTGTTCAGCTAAATATTTATATCACACAAACATTTTAAAGACATCTATTTAGTAACATGCACTAAATAGAAAAGTAAATTATGTAAGTATAACATTTTTTTGTTTAGTCGACTACAAGTACATTGTTACAATAGCACCCATTTTGATAATATTTTTTTATTATTTGCACTAATTGCTCGACGCTGTTACTTACCATTGTGATTTGTCTTTAGCGACTGAAAAATAAATAACAGGTTTGACAAAAGCAGCCTCAACAACATGGCCGCTACTATAAAACTAACTATAAAAATCTGTCCGCCCTTGATTGAAAACCCTTTACTTTACGTAGATAGAAGAAAACGACGAGAAAGAAACAAAGACGAAAGAAAGAGAAACGAGAGTATATTACCAGACATAGAGACGAAATAATAAAGGTTCCATTCGGTGGTGTGGGAAAAACAGCAAAACATCTAATTGAGTTCTTGGGTTTTCGCGATTGTTACACGTAGGAAATGAAACTATTTTTCCGGATTTAAATCGCGTATATTTATTTTTTCAAACAAACCGACGTTTCGACAGTCAACCGTGGCCATGGGTCCTGTAAAGGGTCCGAAACGTCGATTTTAAACCGGAAAAATAGTTTCATTTCCTATAATATTAGAGTCAATATTACATTATTTCCTTAAGTCGATCACTGGAATAGATTGTGGCGACTAGAATAGATAAAGGAATGCTGAGGTGGTTTGGGCATGTATAGTGGAAAGATGTAAGAAGATTTACCAAATGGTGGAATTATCGCGTAACATACATACAAAAAAAAAACATAGACGAATTGAGAACCTCCTCCTTTTTTGAAGTCGGTTAATAAAAGAAGTTGTATGAAAAGGGTAGTGATGTATGTGAGGCTCGAAATTTGTGTCAGGGTAGAGTAAGGTGGCGTTCCATGGTCTCTGCCTGCCATTCGTGAGGGACAAAGGCGTGAGTTTATGTATGTAGGGAAGTCGATTCCCAGAAAAAGTAAGTTCACAAGCGCACTTATTTCGTATCAGGAAATATATGGTCCGAAGAAATATATGTAAAACGGCCCTATACAAAAATAGCGTTGTTGATATGGCACCCAAAATATTTAATAAAATTCCAGACGCAATAAAAAATCTTAGTGAAATGCAATTCAAGCATGTATTAAAACAATTATTAATTGACAAATGTTACTATAGCATAGAAGAATATTTCAATGATAGTTTCTTAGAATAGGTAAATGCTGACAGTTGGGTACCATTTAGTTATTAATATTTTTAGACTTTTTAATTATTATTAGTTTTTTGACATTGTATACATTTTTCTTTTATTTTGACATTACATTTTTATTTAATTGACTTCGTATGCCACTTTGGCTTATTGCAGGGATTCCATAAAATTATTATTATCATCTATATCATGTACCTCTAATAACGAATGAATAAATAAATGAATCGATCAACGGCTGACAAAAATAAGCGACACATTTTGTCGCTTGTTTACAAGTGACTGAAACGACGATAAAGCCGAAATGAACCGATCGTCTTTATTTAATTCTCGATGACTAACATAATACCGTCTGGTAGTGGATTTTGTTTATTCGCTACAGTTGCAAATAAATGATTACTAATAATGACGTCCTACAGTCCTGCTTTTATTACTATTACTAACAAAGGGTATTTTGTCCTTTCCCCCAGCATCCGCTCGAAGTAAATATTACCTTCTATTTACTGTAAGTGAAGCACTTGGTGAGTTTTACTAGTCATTGGACGAGGATGTCCTGGGTCTGTATAGTTTATATATTTACCTAAACTTCAAGCAATACATACACATGAAGTAGATAACACCTCCCCCGAAATCCCGGAATAAAATAAAAAAAGGCAGAAATTAAAAAAAAAACAAAGTTCTAGTCAGGTGACCTTAGGAATTTCTTTGAATTATTAGTAGCTCAGTTGGTAAGAGCGGTAACCTCCGTTTGGCAAACAGACGCTGGTTCGAGTTCCGTCGCATCGAAGGAAGTTTCGTGTTTGTTCGACCTTTGTATCAATAATAATACCTATAGTCTGTCTTTTGAAGACGAAGTAAAATTTCATTTATAGGTTGTAGGTCAGTTGTCTTAAAATGTTAAATAGTTATGTAGTTGTTGTCGATAGTTGTATCGATACATTGTGAAAGAAAGCAACATTTTGCCAAAAATGACTGAATTATGAATGTTACGGCGTTCTAATGATTACCAATTGCGTTATTGCCTTCTTTATTCTTATTTTGACAGTTGGCCTACTAGTATCGAGATGCATTTTTATTCATATTCTATTTTATTCATATATTTTAACAAGAATAGTCGGATTTGATTATCTATTTTGAATTTAAATGAAAAACTTTAAAATGTGTCTTTGCATTTTTCATAAATATGGGTCTTACTGTGTATGTATGTATGAACTTACGAAAATTGGCAATTCAAATGAACTTGTGCACGGTAATCGGATGAATAATGGGTCGAGGATAATTTAAATGAAACAAGTTATTTATTCCATAAGCCAATATTTAGTCGATAAAATATTTATCGATTGCATTCACGAGCTGCTCGCGCGGGCAACACTTTTGCGTATGGAACTGTCATTTTACTCCGTCTTCAAAAAAGACAGACTAGTGGAGAATATTCACAAAAATAATATTTGAATATCGTGATTGTAAAAATATCATTGTACCTGAAAAATCTTCGCATAAATGAAGATTTAATCTTGACAGCTGGGAAAACCATGTAATGACGTCGCATTTGTGCATTTGAGTGATCAGGTGTAAAAACAATTTCGGAATGTCGTCTTAGTACTTTCGAAAGAATGTGCAGCTGACGAACAGTTCACACCTCACCTAATTGATATAATTCGACCGTAGGAAACAAACGTGGCTTGTTAATGTGCATGATAATGCAATCATTTGTATCTCGTTAGGTCTAGAGCATATAATAGATGTAGTACGTAAGCCTTGTTATTTTAGTAAATCACGCCTTTGGTATAATAAAGCCATAGCTGTAAAAATTGAGATTCCACTGAGGCAATATTGCAATTGCGATAATATTTGCTTTTCTGCTAAAATCCAGGTGCAATACTTGCAATGGCACCTGAATATCACAATAGAGTGTCAGTGGAATACTGACTGGTATTAGTTTATTTAATCACTGGTCCATGGTCCTACTCAACAGGAACCCGTCAAACGCGAAGCTTGTCTTAAGTAGGACCATGAACCAATTACTAAAAAGGCCTGCAAACCTCCATACTAATGAGATCGTAACTCTTGAAAAAGGTAAAAAAAAAAGGTTCCTTATGTTTAGATAACGCTGACAATAGCCTGGATATGTTTATATTATGTAAATGGTAGTGAGTTTTTTCCTTGTAATATTATTAAAGTATTGACCATGAGCTATAATAATTATTTTCTGGCATTGTGCGTTACAAACTAATTTATAAATTAACGCTATTAATGATAGATCGCGCTAATCCTGAACAAAATAAAAGAATAGCCGGCAACTATTCAATATAATACAATAAGCACCATCATCGAGTATATAACCAGAAATAGAGACGAAATGTCATTTAATTTGTTTGAAAACTATTCTGCCATATCATTACTGTGACAACTGCGCTCCGATTGGCTAGCCCGAGTTCGAAACAATTGACGGGTGTCGTGAATTGTTTCACTTCAAATCGACAATTAACATGAGCTTTGCTATAATGGACGAAAATTGCAAAATTACATATTTAATATTTAATTACCGATAAAATTTGATTCCGTTTGTTTTGTAATTAGATGTTTTGCTGTTTTCCCCCACACCACCGAATGGAACAGCATGCCATTGTTAGAGATATTATCTTTATTACAATAAATACAGAATACTTTTTGGAATATACGGAGACGTACACACAAACGTTTGTTGTTGGCGTTGTCTATTATAGACAGCGCCAACAACAAACAAAAATATAATATTTCGGTGCAAACGAGAGTTGATATTTATACGTGATGTATCACTGATGAGTTACCAGGGATGTATGGCCCTTATTTCGTCTCTATTTCTGGTCATATACTCGACAAGCAGCATATACTTGATTTATTGGTTATCATTACAAGTTAAAGTAGCTTTTGATACATTGTAGTTCGTCAAGTATTTACAAAAATAGCTATTTGGTGTTCGTAGCGACATCTGGTATACCAATAGAGGTACTAAATACTCGACTACGCATTTGTACCGCGGTTAGCAGTGCTCTTGAATTATTGGTTTAATTATTTTAACTGCCTCCGTGACCAAACGGTTAACACGCTAGTTTACCACGCAGAGGTGTCGGGTTCGATTCCCGGGCCGGGGAAAATATTTGTATAATCTATATTTATTTCTCTCGTGATTTTGAGTGTACTTTGTGCTTGTCTATGTGTGTGTTCATGGCACCCGCGGTGCAGGGTTTCCCTATCACGGGGCTATGCGTGTACGCATTATTGCGTTATTATTATTGCTCTAAAGGTGTCACGTAGCGAAAGTACGGATACAGAATCGAAAATACCTATGCTATAATAGCCTACTAAATCTGACTAATGAAACCAGGGGCTCACTACGAATAAAAGGAACCTAAGCACGCGCTCAGAGAGGTGAAAATAACGTGGCCCGCTATGTGCAGTCGTGCGGAACCTAATGCTGGGGTTGTACAAGAAGTGTAATGTAAATGAAAGACCTGTCCGAGTGCTTGCATATACACTTAGCGGTAAGCATTTATCGCGTAACCTCGAGCGAGTGAGAGAGTCCAGGCAAAATGCTTAAACACATATTGCGTCCTACAAAAGAAAAGGACTTTTCCGCGAAGGAACCAATGTCAAACCGTCCAGCCTTTTACCATAGGATAGTTACTGATTTTTCATTGTGTCGATGGCATACGCTATATTGCCGTCACATAGGAAAAGAATTTGCCAATCAGCGTACTTCCTGATTTTTGCGGCAGACATACAGGGAGGCCGGAGTACGTTGCGGAGAGGCCCCTTTCGAGCACCCCAGTTTTTAACCCTCTTTATGTAATAAACACTCTGGTACTTATACTAAAAAAGAAAACAACACCTATTACCCGGTGTCATATATGGAATTCCCTCTACTATGGGTACCAGAGCATTGGTATATTGGACCGGACCGCAGCAGACCAGAACCAATTTAAAAAAAATCCCACATTGGTCCTACCGGAAATCGAACGCTTGTCATCCACCACCAAGGTCATATAACGATTTGTACTACAATTTCCTGTAAATTACAATCGTTACTTTTTTTATAATGCTTAATGCAGCTATTACCAACAAGATATAAATTTCTAATGATCTAATGGGATGGTTATAGAGATCATTTTTGTTAACTACGTCATTTACACTTATATATTTGTTATAAATTCACATCATTAAAATCCTTGTACATCCGACAGATACAATTCTAACCTAATGTGTATAAACTAAAATTGAAATAAAAAGAAATATCTATTAATAATGAAATACATAGCGAAGCAAGCAAAGGGCCTTATGACTAATATACACGAAATTTAATAGAAAAGAACGTTAAAAAAACTTATATATCGTAAATTAGGTTATACATTGGCTAAAGTATATGTATAATTGATTAAGTTAAGACAGTTCAGATTGATTACAATGAAATAAATTGTTATTTCTATTAAATATTATGTTTAGGTGTTTTTTTCCCTAATAATAAAATGCGTTCAGACCAAGGGCGCGTTCTCATTATGTCGTGACGACAGATAGTCGTGCAATTTAAAGTGTTGTGGATTGTATATTTAAATGAATTGTTTACATGTAGCACAACACGATTAACTGTCGTTCACGACTTTTTTTCTCTAGTGGGAAACCCTGTGTCGCGGGTGCCACGCACACATGTACAATCACAAACTACACCCAATCTCACGAGATAAATAAATGTAGGCCGTATAAATATTTCTCTCGGCCCGGGAATCGAACCTCTGCGTGGCAGATCAGCATGGTAATCGTTCGGCCACGTAGGCAGTTTATAATGCTTTTATATTTTGATTGTACCTTATTTAGTTATACTCTGTATAATTTATTGTTTTGGCTATCCATTCTAAACAAACAGAAATTTTGTCCAGGTAAGGTACCCAAGCGGTGTAGAGGTGAAAGAGGGCAATGAACTGACTCCAACTCAGGTGAAAGATATCCCTACAGTGACATGGGATGCCAGTAATAACGAGCTCTATACATTGGTAATGACTGGTACGTACAATTTGTTCTTTATTGATTACTATAGGAAATGAAACTATTTTGTTTAGATCTAAAGCGTGTGTATTTGTTTTCCAAACAAACCAACCATGGTCCCATGGTCACGGCTGACTGAGATGGTAATGTCATCAACCAGGGCAAGGGCGCTAAGTTGCAAATTTTCTTTAAACTTTTAGTCATTGTAATTCCAGTGAGATTCCACTAAGATCATATTGCAATTATGATGGTAAGTATTTGTTGCGCTGAAATTTAGTTGTAATAGCAGTTGAGTGTCAGTAAAATAGCAGTGGTGGCATTCATTCAATCATTACCGATCGATGTTGTTTTACTAAAGCTGTCATGGACATTGTTAAGCAGCAGTCATAGATATAGAAAAAAAGGGGAGATTTGGTATGGGGGCGTGGTTCGTATCGCTTCGATATGATCAAAATGATCATATTGTATCTCGTAAAACGTGAAAATGCCAAGTTGTAGCGATACACCTTGTAAAAATTGGAGTAAAAACAAAAATTTTAAAACCAGTGAGATAACATTAACATTAACAGGCCTGTGGCATTTTTAGTTAATAATTCTATTATAATTCAATGATTTCTTTTTATCACCATAGAAATTTCTAGACTCAAATATAGTCATGTTCCTTTACGATGACTGATGTTTATCGACAATGAATTTTTACTGAAATTTTGAATTTCTTATATGATTTTTGTAATTAAAGTCCCTAAAATATCGAAGCGAAAAGCATTCACGTTAAATTGATTTATTTTATTTTATTATTATTATTTTCGTATTTATTTTAAACTAGCGAAAAGCATTCACGTTAAATTGATTTATTTTATTATTATTATTATTATTATTATTATTATTATTACTAAACATTTTATTTTTTACTTTAACACAACTCATATTTCGGACAACCGTTTCAATTTCATGTCAATTTGTATGTTGCTGTTGCTTGAAGAAAAATATACATATGTGTATTATTGTTTTAGATAATTTAGATATTTCAATTCCATTATAGTCGTAGCTTAAACGTAGAGTATTTTTATTTTTTAAGTTTTTCCAATGAGTTCAAAATAAAAGAAAGAGAGGTTGGATTGAAGCTGCAGGAAAATCGAAAGATTGGTTTTCTTATCTGACTTTTTAAAATTTCCATAGCAAATGCATTTAAAAAATAAACAAAATAAAATCGGCTTTATTTTACATGTGCATGCAAAATAAATTAGAAACTATTATAGAAAACTACATAAATCCTTAAAAAAAAAACAACATAATTTCATTTATTAAATTCGTTGATGGTCCGAGTTTACTCTTGACAGTGACAGTTTCACAAACTCGTGGTAACGTATAATGGAAAACTGACACTGGCGACGATTGCCATATTTTTTATATTATTCTTATAAAACTGACACTGGCCCAAGCCTAGTGGTCGCCATTAAGAAAATAATAATAATTTATATTAATTTTATAATACACCACCAGTAAAGGTATAGTATGAAAAATGGAGTATTTTTTAATATTAAATGCCACATGGCCACATGGTTTCTAACTATCGATTAGGTAGTACCACATCCCTCGTTGAGTAGCGTCAGTTTAAGGTTAATAAGGTTAACAATTCACGAAGCGGTTTCCACCCGCGCCCGCCGGTTCTGCTACACAGCGGTTTTATTTCAATACTCACGACCGCAAGTCGCGCGATTAATAGAGAACTCACCCCGCATGCGCCTGCACCACATTCTGCTATTACCCCGCCGCGGCAACCGCGAGCAAACGTCACCACTACAGGCGTAAAACGTGCCATGAAATGTGCTACTAATTTTACATACTTAACTATTATAATATATGTATAATATATTCTACTGATGCCATCCCGCGGCAGACGCGGGTGAAAACCGCTCCGTGAGTTCTTAGTGTAACGAAAAATGAGTTTCAGCGCCATCTAACGTGTAATAGTTAGCTATTACATACTAGTAGCACTTTTACTAAATGCCACCTGATGGCGAATGGCTTAACCAGGATGAAAGAAATGCTGAAATATAATAATAATAATAATAATAAAATTGTTTATTCAGTAACATAATGTACAGAGAAAACTAAAGACTACTTATGCGATTTAATGTAAAAATAACACATGTACCTGAACTAGGAAATTCCTGTATTTCAAGTAAAAAGTACTACTAATTATAAACGTGGATACTATTAATATTATAAATACTTTTTAGGAGAATCTTATGAAATAAAATTAAACAATTAAACAATAAATTGCCAATCAAAAAATGTACACTTAAACAAGACAACATTTATTTTAGATAATAAATAAATTCTCTGTATCCTCATAGGACATATTTTGAAGAGCTTCTTGGAGAATTTTCTTTACCTTAAAGCAACAGAAATTATAAATGGAATATTTGGCGTTTAATTTATTGTACAAAAATGGTCCAAGAAACACAAAAAATCTTGAAATAAAAGTATGTTTTGATGATATAATTTTGGGGCAGACAATATCTTTTCGTCTTTTATTCGTGTTTTCAGTAATATATGGGAGTAATACGTGCTGTTTGAGGACTGTGGACTTAATAAATAATTGCCTTACAGTTAATACTTCACATGACTTATACAGAAGGTCAGTGGGGTAACGGAAAGGGCGGTAGGTAGAAACCTTTAGGACAGCTCGCTGGGCTCTTTCAATGATTAGTTAAGTAGTTTTAGCTATACCACCCCATGATGTAATGCAGTAAGTAATTAATGATTGGCATAATGCATAATAAACTTGCCTGATTATTTTAAAATCAGCAGAAACGCGTAGTTTTTTAAACACAAACATTAACTTACGGAGTCGGGCGCTTAGTACTTCGATATGGTGTTTAAAGGATAGGATGTCATCTAATATAACACCTAAATACTTTATCTTGTTAGTAATAGCAATGTCTGGACATTTACACAGGTTGTTAGTAGGCTCAAAACAATGGTGAGCATATAGTTTAGGGTTAGATATAAATGACTTTGATTTCCGCATATGGAATTGCATAAAACAAGTTTTATCCGTATTTAGTGTTAGCAAATGATGTTGGAGCCAGTTATTTACTATATTGAATCCACGCTGTGCATAGTCGTATACCTCCTTGTCAGAGTTTGCAGAAAAGAGTAGAACAGTATCATCAGCATAGGATATGATCTTTCCACCTTGTAAATCTAGGTTACAAAGGTCATTAATGTAAATCAGAAAAAGTGTTGGTCCTAAAATACTTCCTTGAGGAATTCCAAATAAAGTGCACTTCAGATCAGAACTGTGAATGTCACCTTTAACACATTGGGATCGGTCCTCCGGGTAGTTTTCGAGTAATTTAAGCTGTATGCCCCTTATACCAAGCGATTCAAGCTTCTGTAACAGCACAGGGATGTAAACTGTATCAAAAGCCTTCGCTAGGTCTAGAAAAATACCCACAGTTTTGTTACCCTTGTCTAGTTCCCTTGCTACAAAATTCGTAAGGTGATGCACGGCGTCAAATGTCGATAATTTAGATCTAAAACCGAACTGTGTTTTAGATAATATGGAATGTCTCTCCAAATACAAGACAAGTCTATTGTTAATAAGTTTTTCTAATATTTTAGATATTGCTGGCAGTAACGAAATAGGTCTATAATTAGTTATTCGTTCTTGGTTACCAGATTTATGTACCGGGACCACAACAGCTTTTTTTAAACACGTGGGGAATATTCCTTTTGTTAAACATTTTTGCAAAATGAGCGTAAGCGGTGAAAGTAGAATGTGCCTGAATTGTTTTAGTATTTTGTTAGATATGTTATCACAACCAGTAGCACTATCGATTTTTAAGCTTACAATTATTCTTTCAACCTCACTTTCATCCGTATCTAATATTACAAATGATCCCAGAGACTTACTACAGATTGATTGAGAGCAACGTGGTTGAGTAAGCGGAAAACTCTGGATTTTTTGTGCCAGATTTTTACCTGCATTAACGAAAAATTCATTTGCTTTGTTAACAGCAATACAATCAGATGATTGGCTTTTTAATAATCCTGTAGATGATTTATGCTGTTTCGATATGTAGGTTACCTTTTTTATATATTTCCAAACCTTTTTACTGTCTGTACCAGCTTTTTCCAATTCTTTTTTATCATAACAGCTTTTAACTTTTTTAAGCAGGTCGTTACAAAAGTTCCTATATCTTTTGTATGATATTTGTAGAATTAAATTAGCTGGATTACTTTTTGCCTTCATATGTAGTTTATCCCTATGACGCATACAGCGAATAAGTCCTGGTGTAATCCAAGGTGTGATATTGTAATTTTTACTATTTAATCGCATGACCTTGCTATTACTTAATATTGATTACTGTACATTATTTACTAAGTAAGACATACAATAATCCGCGTCGTCAGAATTATAAACTGGGTTAAAGTCAATGTTGCATAAATCTTCTTCAAGTTTATTTATATTAATTTTAGAAATTATTTGCGTGCGAGTTGAATTAAGCAATTTACAATTTAAGGTTAGTAGGCCAGCTTTATGATCGGTTATTGTAGAGTTAGTAACTAATGTTATTGATTTCAAAATAGATTTAAGCATAATATGGTCTAAGCAAGAGCCGCTTTGATGTGTAGGGAGAGTGTGGGCGGGTAGTAAACAATGAAAAGAGCATAGGTTTAGGTATTCTTGCGCACAGGAATCGATGCTATGTGGGAGAATGTTTATGTAATATTGTAATATAACTCTTACTTAAGTGACTGTAAGTTTAATTTTGTTAAATTTTAAAATTGTGTTATGTCGTTTTCACGTTTTAAGCCCTACCCTATCAAAATCTTTTAAGTTATGGTAGTAGATAATAGAGCGTAAAGTTTGAATTACACACAAGCTAAAAAGTGGCGACATCGGTACCCGATCTTACATAGCTTAATTACATATCTCCCCTTTTTTCTATAGCTATGGCAGCAGTAGAGCTCCTTGTGAAAGAGTTCGTCCAGGGAAATATGCCATCTTATCTATTTCTGCCGCCAAGCAATAATGTCAGCATTACTACGTTCCGGTTTTGAAGGATAAGGTGAAGTTACAGGCACGTGGGACTTGTCACCTTATGTCTCAGGGTGATGGGCGCAGTGGCAGTGCGCCTCAATTCTTTGCGATTTAAAGAGCTGAGTGGCACTGCAACTGTTATGGACAGGCGTGTAGCTTACTTTCAGGCGCACCATTTGTTCGTGCCGTCACTTGATATTATAAAAAAATCCTATTCATGTCTTAATTTTTATGGCGTTTAATCAGCAATTTAGTCTTCAAATTCAATATATATAATATTAGTAGACGTGGTCGCTCACGAAGGCCTCACAAGAAGGCTCAAGGTCACTCAAAGGGCAATGAAAAGGGCTATGCTCGGAGTTTCGTTACGAGATCGAATGAGTGATGAGGATATCCGCAAGGGAACCAGAGTAACCGACATACTAACCCTAAGAATTGCAAAATTGAAGTGGCAATGGGCAAGGCACATTGCTCGTAGAACAGATGGCTGATGGGGCCGAAGAGTTCTCGAGTGGCGACCGCGCAACAGAAGACTCGGCGCGGACTTATGATCTGATGAAGGATGCGGGAATCCGCTGGATGCAAGCGGCGCAGGACAGGTCGTTGTGGCATTCCTTGGGGACGGCCTATGTTCAGCAGTGGACATCTATTGGCTGAAATGATATTAGTGGACTACACCACAGACGTGCCAGCGACTCGCCATTGAATAGCTGGATACCAAATATGATGATGTTAAAAAACGAGTCCAGGAGTCTACATTTATTACCTCGACTCAATTTGGCAGGACTCGGTGGCCTAAAATACTCACGTGTCCGAGTCGCGTTGAACTCGAGTCTTAAAAGAACTCACTCAGACGACAAGCATGTTTAAATTTTATTGAACATCTTTTAATATCCAGAAATTATAAAAGAAAGAAGATATAATACTTAATTATATTACAGTAATTATACTATAGTTCAACACACCACACCACAACATCGCCGCTCAGTAGGTACTTCCAGACTCAAGCTCGACTCGTTACATAAATAGACTCGAGCACTAATGTCAAACTCGAGTCTATTTGGAAACTCGTGAATCGTGAATTGGAGTCGAGTCCTAAAATGTAGATTCGCGGACTCGAGTTTTTTTACAATACTAAGCAAAATCCTGACACTCCATCGACACACAACTGAGATGATTTAAAACTAGCAGACTTATGGCACACTTATATGTAATATGAAAAAATAGTCCCATTTCTTGTTTGACAATCGCGAAAACCTATGAACTGGATGTTGGTTACTACCTAGTAGCAATAGTACCTATAATTGTAACGGGAAAAAGATTTTGGACTCGCTACTATTTTATAATGTACAGAAATCACAATGTTGCTGGGCTAAATTGTTATCTAAGTAAGTTTAAAAGTATGTAAGAAGTTGAAATCTGTTCAGCAGCGGATGTCCATGTATGAAAGTGGAACCACCCTTTGCATTGGCACTAGATTCCGAATCTGTTAACCTTTTTATTGTAAATGTGCTTATGAATAAATGTCTTATTATTATTATAACTTTGCGTACCATTACTTAGACACGTATTATATTTGTACAGTTTCTATATCGAACAATTAAAAAAAAAAGTAAGTGCGCATATCACCTTCATGTCACTTGATGGTAAGGGACGATGAGGTCGACGATGGAGCATTTACATCTAAGCAATACCTGCGCACTCTCGCCTAGAAAAGGTCACCAGTTGTACCGTTCAGGGTCTGCAAACAGGGAATTCCACACAATAGCCCTTCACCACATACACGTGGAAGCGAAACGCTACGAACAAATCCTTGGAATATCCACTACATAAGGGTGGAACCCTGTCTACGTCTAGTCCCCCGATGATGGAAAGGGGACGACGTAATTAAATCGTGCAGTTCCCTCTTTTTTTATTTCTTTACCTAAATGGACTACGAAGCTAGACTGGTGTCGGTACACGTATTTGTGAAATCTGACAAAGGAGAAACAAACCTCATTTTCAGATAGCCACTATTACTTTTCGAATTTATACAATGGTAATTATGGGTTACCAACGAAACTCAAGATTTGAATGCTGAGGTGTGGCCAACACAACAGGATGAAATAAATTAGTCTCTTTAGAAGTTAACCTAGCTAGTGATATCATTATCCAATAAAACGGACCTAGTCAGACGGAGGTCTACAAATTGCCTAAAGAGATTCACCTTGAAATGGGATCTGGGACATGGAAAGTATTAAACTGGATGGAGCAAATGCTGATAAAATTGTTCATTTAATGGGGATCCTTTCGTTGGGCCGGTTAAATCAGGACAGTTAGTTCTGAAACTAGATTTGCGTTGATTGTAGCACTCGTAGACCTGCGAAGACCATTAAGATTTTTTTGGATAAAAAAGTTACCCAAAACAATAATTATTAACACTTTGAGATCAGCTACAAAACTTTTTAATTTATTTCTGCCTCGATGGGACGCCCGCTTGTTTGTTCGCAAATAGATCACGCAAAATTTTATAGGACACTCGTTAATATACCATAGCCATTGTAATCTAATCGTACGCCATAAGCCAGTCTTGTTTCCCTTTATCGTATTTATGGCGTACCCTATAATGCTTGCTATAATGGTGAAAAGATTTGCCAAAATTTTTGACAAAATATTTTTTTGTAATATCGTAAAAAAACATAACCCAGTTTTAGAATACTGAAATTGTTTAATGATATTTCAGTTATGCATCGTTAGGGTAAGTTCCGATAAGTCGAATACGTTAACTAATTTTAACTGTTTTTCAAAAGAGAATTTTGTGCTTTATTTTTTTTTATTAAGACGGATTTTTGACCATTTGTCACTTAGCCACGTTTTAGTAAGTGGAAGGCAGATATGGACAAGTACCCAACGATAAAATAAACTTCCACGACACAGTCCCTATAGATCGTCGTGATATAGGAACGGGCTAGACGCGTCAGTCGTCTAACAATAAATAAAACGTTACGACACAATAAAAACGCGTACTTAGAACGTATCGTAATTATATAAAAAAGTCGTGAACGAGTTAATCGTGTTGTACTTTATGACTATGTTATATTATGTTTAAGTTATATCTCTCACGCGGCAGCAGATATGGACAAGCGCCCGAGCTACAAAGTTTTTGTCGTAAATCGAGTTTAATACATAATTGCGCGGTGGATATTTTATTTTTTATTCTGCTCAGAATAAAAAATAAAAAAATCGTGACAATTGACAAATCCGAACAAAAAGTTAAAAAGCCGGACATGCCAGGACTATGCGGACGGATGGTAACCCTACTTGTCGATTATACCTATTTATTTTACATAAATGACAGAAATATAAAAGAAATATCGAATTTTTCAATGTGGACATGACAATTTTGCATTTCAATAAAACATAATAATTAAGATATCGAGCTGAATTTATTCCAAGTGTACTACACACACATCGACACCGGAAAAGTGTAACGTCTAACGTGCATTTGGACAATAATACAGGCGAACGATTTAAAGTAATTTTTGAAGAAAAAAATCGTTTCAAAGTTTCAGCTTTTCCTTATACACATATTAGAGTGGTTACACACGGCGAGTTTTAGCAGCGATGCAAACGCGCGTTCGCTGGCATCGCTGCTTAAAATCGCGCGCGAGTGTAAATGTAGACGATTAGCGACTTATTACTACCGAGTTATTATTTCTTAAAAAAACTTTAAAACGCTCTCCTGTAATATTTTCCAAATGCTCGTTAGACGTTTTACCTTTCCAGTGTCGACATGTTAGTTACGTTTAAGAATGGAATTCGATCTCAATCATATGACCGCGAGCACGGTTAACCAGGTTTCCGTCGTAGTGTGGATTAAGCCGGAAACAGAATATAAAAGCTAATAAACTTCTACCTTTTCCAGACCCCGACGCACCATCCCGCAAAGAACCAAAGTTCCGTGAATGGCATCATTGGCTAGTCGGCAACATTAAGGGCAACCAGGTTGGGACTGGAGAGACTCTGTCCGCTTACATCGGCTCTGGTCCACCGGAGGGTACCGGCCTTCACCGTTACGTCTTCCTGGTCTACAAACAGCCTGGAAAACTTAGCTTTGATGAACCTAGACTGACTAATACGTAAGTTTATATAATTTTTTATATATGATATTAAGTGTGCAGTGATACGCAAAGATCTGAGGGGCACTACCACTGCGTCCGTCACCTTGACACGTAAGTTGACAAGTCATAGTCATTTATTGATAACAAAAATTTTACAATAACGAATAATCAAATTGATTTAAGTATAAGAAATAATTAATACGATAATTATATCTTAATAGTAATTCACTAAATCATTATAATATTAAAAATAAGCTATACAAAAACAATAACAAAAAATAAAAATACAAGAAAATATTATCAAAAAGTCCTTCTTGCTTGTAATTTTAAATGCATCTTTATCCCTCAAAACCGAAACGCAATAATGCTCTTCTTACTTTTTTTCCTGCGCCAACTCTTTCACAAGGAGCTCTACCGTACTAAACTAAACTTCTTTCTTAGTAACATACAATGATATATTAAAAACCCTTTTTTTCCACAACTCCAAACAACATTGAGCCAGGTGGCGGACTATCACATAAATACTCTCGTTAGAGGAGACCCGTTTCCGGTAATGGGACGTGGAATAGGTTGATAATACAATAATAACATGTAATAATGTGCAAGGGTTTTCAGGGTGTGCAAATTCCCTGTACTATGAGTACCAGAGCACTCTGGGGCACAACCCAGAACACCCAGACAAGAACAAAAAAAAAGTTCATTTCCCAAATTGGTCCTACCAAAAATCGAACTCGGGATCTCCTCATCCAGCGCCTGCAATCCAAACTGCTAGGCCACCGAGGCCGTCAAATGGTTATGATTATTATTTATTTATTTATGGAGCATTGGCTATAGACCTTAAAAAGATAACGAATGATAAAGAAACTCAAAACGTAATTAATATACATACTATAAAAACTGTAACTACAAAAACCCGCTATTTTTTTTTCTCTCTCAAATGATAATGTGTTTGTGTTTTGTATGATTTGTACTGCACCTCTACTTTTTTTATTCTGCAGCTCTGGCGACAATCGCGGTGGGTTCTCGATTGCAAAATTCGCCGCGAAGTACAACTTGGGCGACCCGGTGGCTGGCAACTTCTACCAAGCCCAGTGGGACGATTACGTGCCCATCTTATACAAACAATTGGGCGCTTAAATCTTAACAAAGACACGGTAGTAACTGCTTAAAGTATCTGGTTTGGTCCATACACATCGCACGAAAATGCCACCAGTGTACTGACAACCGTTCATTGAACACATCAGGTCCCTGTACCTTGTCCAACATTTTATTTTATTTTTGACATAAGCATGCCTACGAAGTTTCATAATTATTGACGGGCAACCATAGACATGGATGATTTTTTTTCTTTATATAGTGAAGCGACGTGCTCTTTGGCTTCAATATTTATCGAGCCGACAGGTTATGTAACGAAGATTATTGAAGATTATTTAAGTTGATAAATTTTGGTACCTGTCTATTATAAAGAAATGAAATAAATTATAAATAACTATATTAAATTATTTTTGTTTAATATAATGAATCGTCGGCTTCTTCTCCATATGAACGAGACTCATCACTGGAATCCTCAGTAGCATTAATTATTAATTCTTGAGTACACAAATTGTCGAACGCAACATCACGATCCCATTCACATTCACGATTAAAACTTCTTCATAAATAAAACCGATTGTTATAAAAAATCGAATCGGAAACGCATTAGGACGTCACTTATTGATTAGAATTCGAGCTGTCGAAAGCGAGATAAATGGTTGGACGGAGTATACAAATTTTCTCAAACCAATGTTCGTTGTTATTCCATTGACTACCGAGATTATATTGCGAATATGATAATACTTGTTATTCTGCTAAAATCCTTAGTTTGACCATGTTAAGTTAAGCAAAAATTGTCAGCGCGGACATCGATCTGGCTTCGATCTAGACACGTTCCATTAAACAAATTTTTGTATTTGATGAGATTTCTGAGGATGACATCATTTGCCACCTATTAGGATGTGGATTTCTTGGTCGTTCCAAGCCTAAAGGCTTGGACGCTTGGAGGCTTGGAAGGCAGCATGATGACTATCTAAAATTTTCCATACATAATTTATGGTGACACTACAGTTTTTCTCAAGATACTAATTTATCGACTATCTTTGTGACGAACAGCTTCCATGTGTTTTCCTGATAGTATGTTGCTTAGCAGTGACCATAATTTATTTTATGATTTCCATTTTACTATTCTTATCATTGACACTTGCATATAGAGACTCGCCTGTTCATAACAGTTGATTCAACCGATTAATCCATACTAAAGTTTTGTGTGGAATTGGAATGGAATGGAAACGGCACCTAAATCGGACTCTATTAAGCAGTTTCAGTTACTTCTGGGGAAATTGATAATTTAGGGCAACTCAGTTCTATTACTGACGCCTTGTTTTCGTTATCACATTTTTTCTTGTAATAAGTTAAGCCAATATGGTTTCTAACATTTCACGTTTGCTTGTGTGTACAAAAATTTATTATTTTTTGTTTCCAAATAACTTCAGCTAGGGCTATATGAATTTTGTGTTACTATATCTGTTATAATATATTTACACCATATATAAAATCTTATTTTGTTTAGCAATATGAAGGACTCAAAGTTTTTACCGACTGTACAAGTGTAACTTATTGAATTTTATATATTTTGAATTTTATATGTAACATAAACAGGTGCTTTTAGCCTGTTAAAACATTGGTAATGTTAGTATAGCATTATTGTTGTATTGCTATTAGTTTTCAACAGGAGTATGCTCAATTACCTATGTGAAGTTAAATGGCATTTTTTATAAAAATCTTAGCACCTCAAATAAACCTTATATTTTATATGTAGAAAGTATAAAATTATTGAACTGATGTAATCACTAGCATTGAGAATGTTGCATTTTAGATGTATTAAGAATATTGTCTTCGGTACAAAGTATACATTTTTCAAATATATTTCATGTTTTTATTTTTTATGTGCATCCCGTGGATCGTCCATAATATGACAACTAAGGTAAAATGTCATGTGTTGGACTTGTTGCAAGAAGCAATTTAAAAAAATTAAAAAGAAAAAAGTAGATTGGGTCGGTTTATCCGCGTTCCTTATTCCAGCGTGATCATGGTTGAGTTTTTTAAATTTGACTAGCCAGAAAAAAGTCGCTATTTAGTCGGTTCTAGTCGCAAAAAACTAGTTAAAGTGTCTAAGTTATAAGGGTGTTTTACTGTCCACGCCGGAATAAGCTTATTACAGCCGCACCATTTCTCAATCTCGAGAACCACAACACCTAGCTGAGGCCTAATTACACTAAAAGAAGTCTCGATTCAGTCGTTTCTAGTCGTAAAAAACTAGATTTAGTCATTAGTTGCGAAGTTATTAAGGTGTTTTACTGTCCACGCTAGAATAAGCTTATTCTGGTGGCACTATTTCCCAATCTCGAGAACCACATAATTTAGATCTGATTGCACCCAGAAAAAGTAATGAATTAGTGTGTTCGGCTCGCGAAATTTTAGAATTAAAGAAAGAAAGAAAATACGTTTGTTTACCACAAAAGACAAAAAAACAGAAGACGGAACAAAACAGAACTAAAACAAAACATTCAACTCGTCCTTTGGTTAATTCTAGTATCAATGAGTTTCTTTTGAAGCAATTGTAATTTTGTTTTACTTTACTTCCTTGTATTTAGACCAGTTAACTACTTTATTTTGTGACCGTCAGGATGGCTGGTCGCCTGTGGGGTCTGGCACTGAGTGTATATTCAAGAATTGCTACCTATTTGCTACTATTTGCTACCTTTTCTAAATAATTGCTACCTATGATATATTCTGAGAAATAAAAAAAAAATTTTGACCAGCCATTCTGACGTCAGGATGGCTGGTCGCCTTTTTATTCAGCATGAAGGGAGCAGATTTTCTAGAAGTATATACCAATAATTGCTACCTATTTGCTACCTTTACGAATTATAGGTATACGCTTCATATCTACATTAGTTAAAAAAATATAACTGATTGAAAATTTTACGATTTTGTTCATACTTTTGCTAAAAAATTAAAACTATATAATTTTTTTACAAATATATAATTACAACTAAAGTCGTTGTTAATATTGCGTTATGATGGTTACCTACCCTCTCGGTTTTAGACATTAGCAATCTCACCAGACTAGTTCACCACGAAGTAATTGTTGAACGCCTGCCCTTTATATTATGGCAATAAAGCACTAAAAACTTGTGCTTTTTTAGTTTAGTCAGGCACTTTTTCGCAAAATTTTCAATCGGTTATATTTTTTTAATTAATGTAGATATGAAGCGTATACCTTTAATTCGTAAAGGTAGCAAATAGGTAGCAATTATTGGTAATACCTACTTCTGGAAAATCTGCTCCCTTTATGCTGAACAAAGAGGCGACCAGCCATCCTGACGTCAGAATGGCTGGTCAAATTTTTTTTTAATTTCTCAGAATATATGAATATAATATAATATATAATATATGGTACAGAATATAATATATGGTAGCACTTATTTAGAAAAGGTAGCAAATAGGTAGCAATTCTTGAATATACACTCAGTGCCAGGCGCCACAGGCGACCAGCCATCCTGACGGTCACCTTTATTTTATATTGTGATATTGATAATATGAAATAAATGATTATGTTCTCTATTCCTTTCTTAGACACAAATTTTTCGTTATACGATTTTTCTATGTAAATGTAATTATAAAAAATATCAATGAAAATAATTGAATATTAATTAAATTTTTATTGAATTGATATTCAATTATTTTTTGTGAAATTACTCCACTAGTTTGTTATAATTGAATATTGACTAAAAATAACGGATAACTCACATATTTAAGTCGAATTTTTGCTCGACATGTTTCAAACCAATTCGTGGTCCTTAATCATGAGATTCCGCAGCGATGAGTCGACGGAAACTGCGCGTCAAAGCCCTGGCAGCCCGATCACTCAGTACGGCAGCGAGCGCAGGCGGCGTCGGCGAGAATCTACCCTCCCTTGCTTCATTTTTATTAAAGTCATGTGCAGGATTGCACATGACTTTACTAAAAATACAACATACAATAAACACTAGCAACGTCACTTTCTAAAGTCTCGTCTACACTAAATACTGACGTAGTACCTAACACTGTTTTCCAGCCGGGGGGTACCGACCATCCACTATCACGAAATTCGAATGACGACCAATCTCGATAGCTTCACGTACTTTCCGCGGAATGAAATGCTTTTCTCTCGCCAGTACGGACACTAAACGAATATAGTGCGACGAATCCTAATCCAATGAGTGTTCCGTCACTTCAGAGCCCCGATTGTCCCGGTTCTTAATACTAAGTATGTGTTCCGTTAGTCGTGTCGATATGTTACGGCCGGTCTCTCCTATGAAGCTACTACGCGGGTAAGAACCCGCGGATTTCTCGTTGCGAGTTCGGTAAGGTGGGCAACGGATTTTAGTTTTCCCGCGTTTCGCAACGCTCGGCCGCCGTACGCCGTTCATAAGGGCAAGTTTTGACGCGCGTAAACTATTATATCATAGATGTATTGTGAGTACGTTGTTATTATATCGTATTTTTTAAAGAGGTTTCTACAGGACTGACTCTTTTTTATAGTAGGTATAAAAAAAGTCAGTCAGTAGTTCTTAGTGCATGTTTTTGAAGTATAAAAACCCTGTTTGACTCAGTTGAGTTACCCCACAGTGCAATACCGTACGACATTAACAAATAGACATTATTCAAAGTACGTCTGCTTCAATAGCACATTGGACACAAGAGGTCGCAGTTTCCTTATTGCGTATGTAGCACTTCAGAAGTAAATGGTATTCGTGGTAATTAAAATAATTTGAATTGATATAAGCGCACTATAAATTTCCGGAATGAATAAGAAAAAAATACTATAAATGGACAGAAATGAATTTATTGTTTCTCAAAATATTCTCCGTTAGCGTTAATGCACTTTTTCATACGAATGAACCAATTTTGAAAACATTTATGCCACTTCTCCGAGACAGTCTCTGAAACATATTTTTCATACTCTTCGACAGCCTCTTCAGGTGATGAAAATCGTAGACCGCGTAACTGGTTCTTAATCTTTGGAAATAAATGAAAGTCACAAGGTGCCAGGTCGAGACTGTACGCGGGATGGCTCTCTCGGGATGGATTGTTCACCTTCAAAAATTCATTTGACTGTCTGACCGTGTGAGAATTGGCATTATCGTGGTGCAAGATGATACGGCGTTTATGGTTATTTTTACGCAGTTTGTCAATAACTTCCGGCAAACAAATGATCGTGTACCAATCACTATTCACGGTACAACGATTCTCCAAAGCAACAGTAGCCACGTGGCAGTTTTATTAAAAAAAGAAGCCGTCATCTACTTAGAGGCACTTTCCGCGCGCGCCACTTTGGTTGGTTTCGGTTCATCTTGAAAGACCCATACGCTCGATTGCTCCTTTGTTTTGGGATCGTAACTATAAATCCATGTTTTTCTTTACCTGTTACTACATCCCACACCAAATTCGACGACCCTTCGTTGAATCTGGTAAGCATGGCATTGCACCAAGTGACGTGATCCTTATATCGCGATACGGCTGACCAACTAAATCTAGTTCTTTGCGACTAAAACCGATTAAATGGCGGCTTTTTATCTGGATAGTCAAATTTCAAAAATTCGACTATGGTCACGCTGAAATAAGACACGCAAAATTATACAGTTACCTATAACGCACACACACACTTATCGCACGCACACACTCAACATTGCTCCGCACTAGGGCAGTACCCTGTGTCGCCGGTGCCATGGACACACACTTAGACAACCACAAATTACACCCAAACTCACGTGACAAATAAATGTAGGCCATACAAATATTTCTCTCGGCCCGGGAATCGAACCTGAGACGTCTGCGTGGCAGTCCGCGGTTTTATTAATTAGTTTTCACACTACACACACTTATAACTGTATGTATACATTGGAAAGATTATGTAAGTATTTATTCAATATAAGAGTACACACTGCAATAACACGATACATAAGTATTTACGTAGCTTATTTTATTTTATTTTGTGTTTCGGGACGCATACGTCCATCACTCTCACTCACTCGGCTAGGGCCCATTGAAAACCAGCGTCACAACCTAGCCTTCGTTGTGACTTTAGCTGAATGGAATCCTTTTGTACACGCCACAGCCGCACACATGTCAGTATAGTAAGTTGCTTTTACGCTGTTTTTTATGTTATTTCTGTTCTAGTTATATTAGTCTTTGTTTTTGTGTTTTTTTTTATAATGTGGCGTTACAATAAATGGTTTCTATTTCTGTTTCTATTTCTAATCACTTATAACTACACGACAGCGACAAACTTGTATTAATAGGAAAAGAAAACGAATGAAAAAATGACAGCTGGAAAATATTTTATTTTCAAATGAATTAGACCCTAAATAAAAGTATAAAATAACAAAGACTTTTGAAATAAGACTGCATTGTTTTGGAATTTTAAAAAGTTAACTGTGCTTTCAGGAAATTTCCTATTGTCAACGCCTGCCGATTATATATGACCATGTAGTATTAAAAACCGTTGCTATTGTAATTTGATCAGGCACTTCATCGTAAAATTTTCAATCTATTATTTTTTTTATCAATGTAGATATTAAAGCTGATAACAATTATTGGTAATCTTCTGGTAAATCTGTGCCCTTCATGCTAACAAAGTGGCTACCAGCTATCCTGATATTAATATAATATATCACAGATAGCAATTATTTAGAAAAGGTAGCAAATAGATTCTTGAATATGTATTCAGTACGAGACGCCACAGGCAACAAATACTCAGCTTTTTTATATCTACGTATGCAGTCTTTGTAGTGCCTAATAATTAAACATCATGAATAATAATTAGGTAGGTACATAACACTCGATATATAATAAGAAGGTTAATGTCGAAGCAAAAACGCATTGTTCAGTTCTTCAATGTTTAATCAACATATCGAATGTATATTAAAATATAACTAACTGTTTTCAAACTTGTCTACGATCTCATGCTAAGTTTTGCTATGCCCAGTCGTGATTCAACTTTGAACGGCATAGCACTAGTGTATTGCATTTCAAAAGTTCCGAGATATATTGTTTATAACAATGGGAATAAAATTTAAAGTTAGCGTTTTAATATTGGCTGTATGTAATATAGTTTGCGGGGAGTTGCCTGAATATTACTTTAAAAGTCATAATGTTGTTCCTGACGTAATAGAGAGATGGCCCGATACCATGGCTTCGGTGAGCAAGCAACTTTCTCTTTATGTTGTTTACCTAAATATTTCTACCTTACTACTTGTTTTGCTTATTTTCTAACACTTCCTTGTTTATGTACCTCCTCTTGCAAATGTTTATGGGTATATACATCGTACCTACATCCGATAAAAAATTGTTTTTGTGACACATACTTATATTAAACTATAAATGTAGAAAAATAGAATTAAATTAATTATCGACGACCTCTTAAGTCGCAGAAGAGCTCCATGTGAACGAGTTCGTCCAGGGAAGTACTGCCACCTTACCAATTTCTGCCGCCAAGCAGTAATGCTCTCATTAGGTACTGCATTCCTGTAGGGTAAGGGTGTTGGTGAAATTACAGGCACATGGGACTTGTTCATTTATGTCTCAGGGTGTCAGGCGCAGTGGCAGTAAGTAACCCTTAGATCTTTCTGATTTAAAGCTCTGAGTGGCACTGCAGCTGTTGTGGACAGGCGAGTCTCTTACCACCAGGCTTACGACTTGTTCGTCCCGTCACTTGGTATTATAAAAAAATATTTAAAGTTACTCAAGTTGACTGTATTTACTTTAAATGTGACAATAATTATGCACTTTACTATCAGATAAAGTAAAGTTGTAGAAAAAAAAATGTGAATTATATCGCTATTTTGCTGATAGTCTCAATTGAATTTAGTTAAGCAAAACGGATCCAATACACAAAATTATCAAAAATTTTGTTATATGTACCAAACAGTTCATAAAATCTAACCTCTTACATCATAAATACATACATAAATAAATATCTCTGGAGTTACATGACATTATAAGTTTTGAAAATAAAACAAGAGCGAGAAACACTTTTAAACTTCAAACTGCCATATATCGAAAGTGACTGGATGCGCATTGGATCCTTTTTGTTTAACTACGTCCAATTAAGATTCGGAAAATAAACAAAAGCCGATGCAGCCACCCCTCTGTAGAGATTTTCACAATGTCTAATGACTCTCATCGATGCAAAGTCCACGATATTTTATTAGATACTTTCGTCATGCGATACCATATTTACTCGTTCTTTTACCTACAACTTCTGCCCATGACTTGGTTCGAGTCCAGTGTTGAAAAATAGATATATAATATATCTTATGTGCAAACACAGGTGTTAAGAAATGTATAGACTAGTTTTCATAAAAAATCTATGTAAAGCTGTTTCGGCGTTATTGAGAAACAAACATGTAATCAAGTAAAGTTTCTCAATTATAATATTAATGACATACTTAATAACCTCGATCTTATGTAAGTATAAGGTGGACAGTGTAACAGTGTGTTTTTTTAGCTGGAACAGTAAGTAGTACGGCACCTGGAAATACACTATAGCAGTAATAAAGAAACTGGCTAGGCTGAGATTTCTAAAACGAACTTTGACATCAAATAATCAAAAAACTTTAAACTGCTTTCGTGGCCGAACGGTTACCATTCTGGACTCCCATGCAGAGGTCCCGGGTTCGATTCCCGGGCCGATATTTGTATGGCTTATTTTTAATTTTCGTGAGTTCGGGTCTAATTTGTAGTTAGACAACCACAATTCACCTAAGAGAAGACCAGTGCCTAGCAGCGGGACGCATAAAAGTGTTGATGATCATGACAAAACAAACTGTACCTAAGTTTAAGCAAGAAACTAAATTAAACTTTGAGTTAAAAATTAAACTTCGTAATTTCTTGCTTATTATGACGCGAACATACCGATACCTCCAACGTAAATTGTTGTAAGGCAAAATAACATTTTTTGCTTTTTAACTTAAATATTATATCAATTAAATTTTTATTGAATTGATATTCAATTATTTTTTGTGAAATTACTCCACTAGTTTGTTATAATTATTAATACAAAGATCGAACACTCAGAAAAAATTAATACAGTGAATAGCGACATCTCTCGCCAGGACTGGTAGCTGTAAAGGTACTAACTGGGTGATAAATCTTTCATAGATTTCTCATAGATGGCGCTACGACTGAAAAGTCGTTGAAAAACCAAATACAAAGACACGACGCAAGCACATAAAAAAATTCGTGAGGTCCGTTGGTTCGTTCCGTGGCTTAGTTGGTATAGCGTCTGGCACGGTATGCAAGAAGACGTCGGTTCGAATTTGACCGGATCGAAGGAATTTTTTCTGAGTGTTCGATCTTTGTATCTATTAAATATTATAATCCTTTATGTTTATTATAGTTTCTATGTTTGAAAGTAAACATAACACTTACTTATTTCTTTACTTTGATATTATGGAACCTATAATACACATAAAAATAGAATATATTTAAGTTAAAAAGCAAAAAATGGTGTTTTCACTTAAAACAGCTTACGTGGGAGGTATCGATATATACTAACCTCGTACGTCAAAGTTTTTTCCTGACGATAAAACCAGTTGAATGCGGCTGCAATAGGAGAAAACTTTACGGTTCACTGCTGGGCATAACTTATAGCGAACAATAAATTATAATGTTATGTATATATGTTAGTAACTTTGATGTTAAGCATGGGCGTGATTCACCGCCAATTTAGGCGAGAAAAAATAATTGAAAACACCTATTTTATATATTAACTTAACACAAAAAATCACAAGGAACATAGTGATTTGTTATGCAAGGCTGCAAAGTTGTTGTTTGACGCGACGCGAGTGCTTGTATTGAAACCTGAGCTAGCGAAGGAAGCCAGGATTGAACCTGTCGCTGCGCTCGTGTCTCGTGATTCCTGAGCGTAGCGAGGGTTTCACGCAACGAGATGTAAAACAACTTTGCTGCCAAGCGAAATACACAACTTTTGATCTTACTATAGCGAAGAAAATGGTAGATGAAAGAAAAACGGTATTCTAATGCCATTTAGACATATTGATAGTTTAGCTTAAATATTTCAATGTTATTGGTTATAATAAGCGAGAAAAAGCAATGTCTGTGGTAATTCGGCTCAGAACACCGAATTTGAGAATGGCCGTAATATATATTAATCATAATTTTGTTTTTACTTTGCTTTAGTAGATTTAGTCGAAGAGGAGTAATTTTGCAAAAAAAAAAAATGAATATCATGATAGTAAAACATCGTGACATCCAATAAACTTAAAAATTTAAAAATATATACATATGTTTTATAAAAAAAAGCTATTAAGCACAGCTGGATATTAGAGACACTGTATGGGTCTACGACGCTACAGTACCAAAATCTTTAAGGACACCGTGTGTCTCTAGGATGCGTGATGGCTTCAGGTGATATGTCCAATTACATAGAAATTATTAAACGAATTCTACATTCGATCCTTGTAACAGAGGGGTCCCATTACTACATTAGTATACTGCATGTAACTGCCTTCGTGGCCGAACGGTTACCGTGCTGGTCTGACACGCAGAGGTCCCGGATTCGATTCCCGGGTCGGGAGAAATATTTCTATGGCTTACATGCATTTCTATTATGAGTTTGGGTGTAATTTGTGGTTGTGTATCTGTGTGTCCATGACACACGCGACACAGGGTTTTCACGCGGGACTGTGAGTGTTTGCGTTATTTATTTATTTATTTATTGTTATATAAATGAACGGGAATTTGACGAACCACGACCCTCTCTAGAAATTAGTTATTAGATCGTATCTAATGAATGTCCTTAACTTCGTTTAGTTAATATAGACTTAGTAGCAGTAATGCCAGCATTACTGTGTTCCGGTTTTGAAGGGTAAGGGTGCTGGTGAAATTACAGGCACGTGGGTCTTGTCGACTTATGCCTCAGGGTGACGGGTGCAGTGGCAGTGCCCCTTAGGTCTTTGCTAAATAAAGCTCTGAGTGGCACTGCAACTGTTATGGACAGGTGTGTAGCTTACCTTATCAGGCGCTTATCAGGCGCATGACTTGCTCGTCCCGTCACTTGATACTATAAAAAAAAAACCTAAACTGGTGTTTGGAATTCGTGCACAGAACTATTCTTTTAACTATATAAATAAATATTCCAGGTTGTGTATTCAAACCGTGCGGTAGCAACGAAAGGCCACGAGCTGACTCCGTCGCAGACGAAGACGGCACCTGCGGTCAAATGGAACGCTTTTCCACAGTACTACTACACGTTGGCTATGGTCGGTAAGTACGCTAGTATATTCAATCAGTCAAAAATCCTTAATTGAAAATTGTACCTTAAATCTTTTACGCAGAGTTGTAGTTGGGGTGTGTGTAATTTACTATTAAGGTAAAGCACAAACAACTTGATCTTCAACAGAATATAAACATCATTCAATTACTAAATAAGTAGGTACACATAAAAATAATTTAAGTAATTTACACATACAGCGCCCGTAATTACTAAAATGTCTAAAATAATATATTTAATATAAACCAAGTCTTGTATCTAAAGGTGTATAAGAAGTCGGTACTTCTTATACGAAGTTGGTATTTCTTATACGATGTCGGTACTTCTTATATAATGTCAGTATTTACAAGAAGTCGGTACTTCTTTATGAAGTCGGTATTCCTATATGATGTCATTCTTATATGAATTCAGTACTTCTTAAACGAAATCGGCACTTTTTATTCAAAGTCGGTACCTATTTGTATAAAATCGGTATGTACAAGAAGTCGGTACTTCTTATACACCTGCAGTGGGCAGTCAGAAACCAATACTGTAATATGAATCATATCGCACCCACATGAAATGTATTTTCTTTACAGTTTAGTTTTTATAAATATTATAAGAGAAATAACTGTCCACTTCGGAGCGTTAATAGTTGATACAACCTCAAACGGCTTTGGTTGATTCCGCACAACAGTGAGTGTTTGGAAAAAATGTATAGTAAAATTGACTACACACACAGACACATATATATACGGTGTGAAAACACGATTTCTAAAAATTTTCACGATAGAAAAAACTTACCTCGAAATTTTACAAGAAAACCGCTTGATTCAATAGGTACTTTATATATACCAATATGTTTTTTTTATATCAACTGAATTAAATAAAACACGTATAGTATACGATATGCGTTTTTTAAAAGGCTTTAATGTTGTTTGTAAACAAATAATTACTGAAATAAAGCCAGTGTCCCGACCGTTCGAAGGCGGTAGCAGAGCGCAGGAGAGCGTTAGCCGCAGTGATTCCGTCAATAACAGTCCCGTAAGCAGATGGCCTAGCCCAGGGCGACCCAATGTCTCCGATCTTATTTAATGTAGCAACTATTGATAATTGCAATGCTATGCAGAAAGTTTACATTTCTCAATATGCATATGACTTTGTACTGTACGTTTCAGGACAGGATTTTCAATTTATGACAACTTCTCTTCAAGCGGCCGTTGACAGTTTAACAATGTTACTAAACGAACTAGGATTAGAACCTGCCAAGAACAAGATATGTATATTTTCTAGAGGTAGAATACAACAGCAAGTTAACATTAATATCAATAATGTAAACTTAGAGAACACAAACAGTGCACAATATTTATGCCTGTCATTGGTTCGCTCGTTATGATGGGGCAAATACATAAATGAAATATACCAAAAGTCTAGAAAATTCTTGAACGTTTTTAATGTACTAGCAGGATCTTCATGGGGTGTTCATCCAACACATTTAAGAAGACTTTATATTGCAATAATTCGTAGTAGGCTAGACTTTGCACGTTTTTGTTTAATAATAGTGCAAAATATCATACTTATAAATTAGATAAAATTCAAAATCAGGCAATGAGAGTTATATGAGGTTTTATCAAAAGTTGTTCAATCCAAGCCATGGAATCAGAATTATGTCTACGACCGTTAGCAGCTTTTTTTGATCCACAGACAGACCATAGCATGTCTTAAGGTAAACAGTAATTCATCAATTATGGGCGCAGAACTTTATGCTATACTAGAAAGTTTATCATATTTACAATCATGTGACAGCACCAACTGTGTGGTTCTTAGTGACTCAAAAGGCGCGCTTCAACATTTAGCTTTGTGCACCTCGGGTAAACAAGGACTCCCAGTAGTTTATACCATGTTAAACATATTTTTAGACTTACGATTAAAAGACAAAAATATTAAATTCCAGTGGATCCCATCCCATGTAAATCTGTTAGGAAATGAATAAGCTGATAAGGGAGCGAAGTCGGCCATTTAATAAATATTCTTGGTATACGACTTGGTAACTATACGAGCTAAACCGCCAAAAATACCATAGTTTACACAAATTAGCCTGCACCGGCCTCTACTGGTCACCAGTACGAGACTGCGCATCGGACATATTCCACTAAATGCGTTTTGTCACAATAATCTGTAACGATGAAACTGGTAATAGCGCTAAGCGATAAAAGCTCTGGTTAAACAATAGATTAAAAAAAGGAACCGATCAGTACGGGAAAAATTTTTGTTCGAGCAGAGATGGTATCGACTCCTAAGTCCGTTAATTTATCACATAATAATGATAGCAAAGTTAGGAAATAATCGATCAAATCGGTTTTGAAAAATACACAACAATTATTTGGATACATAAACAAATTTGTAACTTTTTTTTTAAAAAGAACCGACCTCAAAAGTTCGTGGAATTTGGACGAGTACGTGGAAAAAAAAAACAAAAAAAAAGAATCATCAAAATCGGTTCAGAAATTGTAAGTTATCGCGTAAAATGCATACAAAAAAGTACAGTCGAAATGAGAAAAATAAATAACCTGCCTTCTATTCTGAGCCTTCTTATGAGGTGTGGTAGTTATCGAGATTAGTTTCCAAACTTTCCATTTAAATCTAAACATTCCAATGTTAACCTGCATTTTATATGTAGTGTAGCCAATAAATCGGTCAGTAACATCAAGCGAAACGGTACTTCGATAGCTTTTACTACACTATTATACAATGGCACAATGGCAGTTCATAAACCTAGGGTCAATAGAAAAGCAAATATAGGGTGCTACAAAAAATGAACGTTGTGAACTTTCTTTGATGTGCAGGTTTCATCACGAGGCGGTAGGTAACACCATTGGGCTATCAAGGCTACCAATTTTACTTGGCAGCCATTACCAATAAGCCATTAACAAAGATCTTAAATCTAAAATAATATTAAAATTTCGCGAATAACTATTTACCGCTCCATTCTAAATAAGCCATTGTAATTTGTTTCTCGTTAAATGTTTCTTTATGAGGAGTGATTGGACCTGTTGTTAAAACCAATAAGTAGATTAAGTATTTACAACTGTGTCTAATAAACATAGTATTAATTATTCCGTGCCAAATAATCTATATGAATATTTATAAATGTATATAGGTTAATTGTGATTATTTTTATCCTTAACATGCAATATGTTACATGCAACATGTTAATATATACACATACAAAGTGCAACAAAGTTATAGGTGGTAATTGCACTACTCTAAAAACATAAACTGAACTGCCTCTGTGGCCGAACGGTTACCATGCCGGACTGCCACGCAGAGGTCCCAGGTTCGATTCCCGGGCCGGGCGAAATATTTGTATGACCTACATTTATTTCTCTCGTGAGTTTGGGTGTAATTTGTGGTTGTCTATGTGTGTGTCCATGGCACCCGCGACACAGGGTTTCCCTAGTGCGGGGCTATGTTGAGTGTGTGCGTTATTATTATTATTATAAACACTTAGCGTGCAAAAAATAGAGATATCAATGGTTGGTGCCTTTATACAAATTTATCGTTATTATATGTCAATAATATTTTTGTTGTTGTTTAGTCAGGTTGGTTACTTAGACCGGTTACACATAGCGACTTCAACACGCATTTTTCACCTAAGTGGCTAGTTGCGAGCGGCTGGCTGGACTTTATTATTCAAATAAGTAACTATACCCATTGGTCGCGACTCTGAAGTAAAACAGAGACGCGCGTTTAGTGGAAAATGGCACTTAAACTTTTATTACACTAACCGATTTCAAGGGTGCCTACGTCAATGGTGAGCGTGGTCCCTATATAGGGCTCCGCTCTCATTAACTTATATGTAATCTGTCCTAATAAGAGATTCTAAGGGTCGTATTCCAGAACTCTACTCAATGCTCAAGTCAGGATTTGAGCAGACTTGAGTATGATTTCAAGCACTCCCTAACTCTGATCACGCCTCCTTAAGTTTCCCTTGAAATCGGGTAGTGTTATAAACGTTTTAGCAGCGCATCTGTAGCGATTCAGTCGCTGATCGTCTACTTTTACACACACGCACTACTTAAACAGTGCAAATTCGGTACAGTCGCGATGCAATGTTTTTAATGATTCAACATAATCATCGATGCAACGGCCAGAGTCGCCGATTCATTCACGCGTTTCACAATCGCGTGATTGTTTCGCGAAAAATCTCCGTGTGTAATCGCTCTTAAATTTTGTCGTTTAGTTTATGTGACATTAGTTTTAGTTTCTTAATTTTTGGCCATAATGCCAAAAATCAATAATAAATAAAAACAAATGGAGTACGTAATAGGATAGGAGTAATAAATACTATTTTTTGCGGTATTTTTTGTCAATATAATTTTTACTACAGCTGAAATGTAGTGGCACTTTTTCGTTGCACCCTGCACGGATGTTAAATTTAAACAAATAAACTCTCCGTCTATATTTAACTTAAAATTATATATTTTTAATTGAAAATATCTTGTTTGCTTGCATTGCAAATCAATCACTGTCCAATTATACAGTGTTCTTCAATCAAGTTTCAATTAAGAAGTAGTTATTACTGAACTGAAATTATAATAAACCAATTATGTGAAATCGAACTATAGGCGTTAGATATTTTATCGATATCGAAATAATATTGCGGCCTCAATATTTACGGGAAATGTCACTGTAACATCTTTATTGTTTAATAATTTCTATAATCAGTATCAATCGTAATAACCATTATAAATTGACTTTTTTGGTCAACCGTAGAAAGAGTCTTGATTTACCTTTTCCACACAAACTTGTTAAGAGTCTATAGTATCTCAAATGGCTTTGGTTAATTCCGCATAATATTGAAAGTGTTGAATGAATCACTTTGGAAAAAATATATAGTACAATTGAGGATATACATTGATTACTATACGGTGAAAACATGATTCCTTAAAATTTTCAGGATACAAAAACAATACAAACTGATCTCGAAATTTTACAAGAAAACCGCTGCATTCAATAGGTACTAATACGAATACGAATACGAATATATACGAATGGTTTTTTTTATATCAATTGAACTACGAACCCGTATTACTACGAATATACGAAATTCGTTCTGAAATAAAGCCAGTGTCGTCAGAAAAATTTGTATTCGAGTTGAGGTAGTATAGACCTTAAAGCCCGACGCCCATTGGCGGGATAGATGGCAGGGGATCTTTCGCTTTAGCATCTCTATATGCAAGCGTACAGTGTTTCTATAGTATCCTAAGCCTGAGTCTGTTCAGATCAGTCGTGGAAAAAGATTAATTCGAGCTGAGGTAGTTTAGACCTTAAGGCCCGATGCCCATTGGCGGGATGGTATGGCAGGGGATCCTTAGCTTCGGCATCTATATATGCAAGCATACAATGGTTCTGTAGTATCCTGAGCCACTGTTCAGATCAGTCGTAACGTTAACCTGCCGAAGCTTCCGGAGGCTGCCGGCTCGGTATGTCTACTAACTTTCTAAGTTAAGAAAGCTTCGACGACCTGAAACGCGTCTGAAAACTGAAAAGCGTCGATGACCTTGAGCCATCGATGTTATTTGCCACGCCTACTATATTATAATTTATGAAATGAATTAGCCAGCTAAGTGCAGTGCGGGCAACATAGCATCCATCTTGCAACGTCTCAGCTATCACTGCCAACCTTCGCTTGCGTAAAAGAGAAGAAACTACCAATAGTTTACGCGCGTCTCAAAAAAAGGGTTTATATTCAAAATTAAAAACTAAAAATTAAAAGCGCTTTAAACTGAAGCGTAATTGACGGTATTCATTGTCTTAGCTATTTATTATGTTCAATATTTATTGAATATTTAGTGTTTTATATGTGGAGTACTCTGAATGAATAAAACAAAGACGCCATTTCAAAATATTTTATAATTTCTATACCGAGAAAAAAAGTTGTTGCATCAACAATATAAATCAAAATTTAACGTATGACAGCGGTTACGGTCATATTAAATACCGATATCCAATTAGTCTGTTCAAAAACCGATAACTTTTTAATCTCGGCAGATACTGCACACCTGAATGCGATATTTAAGTTACTTATGTATAACGGTTACCTCTTTCGGTCTCAAGACTTGTAGGCATCATCAAATCATTATGAAATAAATGAAATCAAAGAATTAATTTCAGACAACTTACATATCATTACTGAACGTAAAATTTGATTCTCTACACGTCCATAGAACCGTCGTTAGAATATTGTAGGTAATAATTAAAAGATATCTACTTAACTCCCACTTTATGTGATCTAGTTCTGGCCAAAATGGTCCTTATTAAAAAATGTGAAATATTTTTTTTCCATTTTATTTTTAAATATATTTGGCAAGTAGAAAATTGTTCAAGTGTCTAATAATAAATTATAACCTATACATAAATTTTAATGATCTTTCACGGGAACTGAGTAATTAGTTTTTCATCTTTTCTGAGAAAATACATTACACACAATACTTTTTGAGTTAATGCACTTTTGTATTAACAGTGCGATATAAATACAATGATAAGTCAGAAAAATCTTCTCAAAACAATAATTACGAATTTTGCAAAAGGCGTTTCTTTAATATTAGTTATTCTTCGATAGATAATAAAACCCGTTGCAAACGGCAATAACGCACACAGCTATGGTGTATTGGATATGATATAAATAATTTCCAAATACTAAAAATATTGCAAAATTTGAATTCATGAAGTTATGATTATTACTATAAAGATGGAACACACAGAAAAATTTTCTACGACCACATGGGACTTGAACCCACGACCATATTGTACCATAGTATTGATCTTACCAACTGAGCTACGGGTCAAGTTATCGAGTTGTCGAAATTCTCCTATGTGTGCGTACTGTACCGTATTTTGGCATTCTGCGCCTAACCATAAAGTAAATTTCGTAAAATATAGTTAAATTGCATATGTAATTGTTTAGTTTTTTCTATATTCTCTGCTATTAACATGCTTTCAGATCCTGATGCTCCATCAAGAGTAACCCCGATCTATCGCGAATGGCTCCACTGGTTAGTTATAAACATTCCCGGGGACAATGTGGCCGCAGCTGATGTCATCGCCAACTACAACGGGCCGTCCCCGCCCAAAAACACTGGTCTACATCGTTATGTAATACTGGTATACAAACAACCTGGCAGAATCAACTTCAATGAATTGTATTTGGATGATACGTAAGTGATACTTGCGTAATTTTTAGAGAATGTATGAAAATCAAAAATCAATTTAAAAAAAATTACGTCGAAATAAAAAGAAAATACATTTATTTGATTTTAGAAATTCGGGACTTATAATAGTTATTTGTTATGCAAGGCTGCAAAGTTGTTTGACGCGAGTGCTTGTATTGAACCCTGAGCAAGCGAAGGATTCTAAGGGTCGTATTCTAGAACTCTGTTCAATGCTCACAGGATTGCACTGGCACCACAAGCACTGGAAATACGACCCTAATGGCAGGGACTTGAGTATGATTTCGAGTGCTTTGAATCATACTCAAGTCCTGACTTAAGCATTGAGTAGAGTTCTGGAATACAACCCTAAGATTGAATTTGAAAAATAGAATCTTGAGCATAGCGAGGGTTTCAAGGCACGAGACGCAAAACAACTTTGCTGCCGAGCCAAACACACAACTATTCACCGCACTATAGTGCGACCAAAATGTTAGATGAAAGAAAAACAGTTGAACTTTAAGACATCAGTTTTTTTTTAATTAAAAGAAAACGTTAATCTTCGGATGCGTTCTGAATTTACACCTCATTAATTTTAATTCTTGCTTGTACTTTTATTTTGTGTGATTAAGTGATTATTGAAATTATTTTAGTTCTTTCACGAATGAAAATAATTTAATCTAAACTATATGTAGGAATGAAACTATTTTTCCGGATTTAAATCGCGTATATTTGTTTTTTCAAACAAACCGACGTTTCGGGCCCTTTACAGGTCCCATGGTCACGGTTGACTATATGGTTGACTAAACTATATGGTTACAAGTACTTATTATGATTGACATTGTCAATTTAATATAATGAAGTATACCAACGGATTTATATTACATAAATAAGTGATATACGACAAATCGCGTAGTTGAACGTGTCATTATCTTTTTTTTCATCGAAAGGAAAAGTTTGGTGCACCGCACCCTTAGAGGATGGAAACCAATAGTCTAAGGGTCGTATTCCAGAACTCTACTCAATGCTCAAGTCAGGACTTGAGCAGACTTGAGTATGACTTCAAGTACTGGAAATACGTCCCTAATGGCAAGGGCTTGAGTATGATTTTCAGTGCTCACTGCAACACTCAAATCCTGATTTGAGTATTGAGTAGAGTTCTAGAATACGACCCCAAGACCACGCCACAGTCCATCGTCAAGTTCGAATTTAAAAATCTTTTCCACGCTAGCGTGCAAAAAACGCTTTTGCGCGCAGATTTCTAATGAGAAAGAAAGCCTTTCCGAGCTAGTGAGGTGTAAATTAGTTTTATTTATTCATTAAGCATCATATAGCATCTCTCTAAATCACCACTGAGATCATCTTATTACACATAATTTCACAAATATACTACTTCGTTTTCAGGAACCCAAGCAAACGCGCCAATTTCAGCATTGCAAAGTTCGCCAGAAAGTCCAATCTCCAAGTGCCTCCAGTCGCGGGCGATTTCTTCATGGCCCAGTATGAAAATAATAAATAATTAAGTTAAGAACATATTATTTCATAAGTTCTTAAAATAACCTCTTAACTCGATTCCTTTAACTAAAACACACAACTTTTATACTGCGATATTTGAAAATTTTATTTGTAATCCGCCAAAAACAACATAAGTAGGTTTTTGTGGGTGGCGAAACTTCTTCATTTTTGGATGTCCAAAGGTTTCGGATAATAAAAAATAATCCCAGAGATGACCACAACGGAGAGGAACGTATATGTTTCCATCTTCCACACATATAAAAATACGTGCTGACGATCGCATTGTTCTCACATAGAAATTTCGCTCTTTATGTCGCTCTCTCGCAAGTCGCGCTCAATCGTGCTAGCCCATTTTCAATTTCCACTGTTCACAATTTGCCCTTTTAAAATTTCTCCCAAAATATCCGGGACCAATGATTTACATACCTATATAGCTTTATACACGATGAAACAAGGTAAGACAGCAAAAAGAAATTACATAAAATAAGTTAAAAAATAAATAAGCAATACGTTTACATACTATGACTATTATTCCTGTCCATAGACTTATCTAAAAACATGAACACAATTGTATAATAAACAGACGTGTTAAATTATATTTTTATTCAATTTTATATAACTATTATAAAGCAATACGTATTTATTATTAATAAATTATTCTTATAAAATATTATTGTTTATTTTATTTCATCACTCGAGCTATACTGTGATCAGTTGATTACTTGATAAAAGGTCATTGAGTTTCATTTCATTTTCATTATTATGTCGTCATTATCTCACTGCAGGGCATAGACCTTCTTTACCTTCTTCCATTGATCGCGATTTAACACCGCTTTGAATAAACGAAGATCTCGTATGAGCCATAGCCATCTCGTTCTCTTCTCGGCCTTCATTATATTAGGAATTGAAAATACTCCCAATTTTACTAAAAGTACATATTGATTGATATAACATAACACACCTTATTACCAGTCACTTTACAGGCTGACGAATTACGTACATATATAATATTAATTGCCTATATAGCAAACAGTATGAACCTAGCCTTCCCGGGGCGGTTCGCTGTCTCACTCGTAAAACATGCAACTCAGTGAACCTCTGGAACACTGCTGTGTCCTTCCTGTTCGCTATCATCTTCATCTAGTCAGGGTCTCGTATCTGCTACCCCTCAGCTTCGTATTATCGATATGGACATTTTACTGGTTGGACGATTGTATTGGACTTACCGTACGATCCCAGTGTAAAGTTAAACCATAGAGCACACGTGTAGAAACTCTGACAGTATGCTCTGAAGCTGAAGAGCGTAAGCTTCACTCCAGTTCACTACACGCACCGCCACCGCGCAAATCTATGAGCCTACATATTGCCTCGAACTGACAGCGCCTTGCACTCCATCTCTATATCTTCCATCTTGTATATGAAAAATAATTTATTAAATTTGGCCAAATTTAGCTGTCCCGATTTTTTCGTCGCATATAATGAATCATTCTTATAAGAAACTGAATCTATCAGCATTAAAAAAATTAGTCAATTTTATTCATTTGTATGAAAAACGTTTGATTAAATTCTTCGCCTTCGCCTAACTTAACTTTTAACTTAAGGATTTCCTGACGTTAGGAAAATAAACAGCACATCGACCTATATACTTTGTTCGAATATCGCCCCCGGAACTCCGGAACAAGATCCGTTCTCCGTACACAAAACAACAGAGAAGGCAAAAAACACTACACTGCTACTTATTTTTAAGTAAAATATGGACCATTGAACAATGATTCACGTACACACAGTCGAGTCGGTTCACTATCGTGATCATTTTATAATCTAATCGTTTTTTTAATGATATAAGTGAGGGCATAAGCAAGTCGTGCGCCTGATGGTAGCTCAGAGCTTTACAATCGCAAATACAACTGTATTTTTGTGTGTGGACTTGAGTGGCATTACAAATGTAGTGCCACTCAAGTCCACTTAAGTAAGTCTTAAACCAATGCTTAAATTGTTAAGACACTCTTAACACAATGTACAGTCACACGTCACGCTTGACACTGTACTTTGAGCCGTTCTTATCGTAAGCGGCTTGGGAATAGAGTTGGATTTAAGTCTTAAGTGTAAAGCTTAACGTGTCGTTGACCCTGTACTATTAGGGTGTGTTATGCATAGTAAGCATTGGCTTAAGACGTACTTATGTTTGGTGCAAGTGGAAATGAGAGCTTTAACCTGTCACCATGGGACATAAAGCTGATAAACTCCATGTGCCTGCAGTTTCTCCAGATCCCTTGCCCTTCAAAACCGGAATACAGTAATGGAGGAGGAGCTATGTAGCAGCAGAGCCCCTTGTGAAAGAGTTCGTCCAGGGAAGTACTGCCACCTTACCTATATCTGCCGCACAGCAGTAATGTGAGCATTACTGCGCGGTTTGAATGGTACTTACAACTTATGTCTCAGGGTGACGGGCGCAGTGGGGGTTCCCTCAGATCTCTGCGATTTACAGCTCTGCGTGGCACTGCAACTGTTATGGACAGGCGTGTAGGTTAACACCAGGCGCAGGACTTGTTCGTCCCGTCACTTGATATTATAAAAAAAGCTCTACTACTATTAAGCATTTTTAATAAAAAAAACTGTATACAATATTTTTAGCGTTTTTTAGTTTCTCTTTTCAGTGCAGATTATATCTAGTAATGGCAACGTAATAAAACAACTTGTTATATTGTAAAACTTATTATATTTATTCAGTATTATGTAAACTTTAAAAAATACATTGAATGTTGTTTAATTCAAAACACTGCATTTCGATTTAGCTATCTTATAGATGATCGGATTTTTAAATATTATCATCAACCCATTTCTACGTCTCACTGCTGGGCATTGATCTCTTCTCAGGCGAGGGGGCAATATTCCGCCACGCCTGGCCCAATGGGGTTAGGTTAACACTTTTACAAGGTTTGTGAACCTTCTGCAATGTGCAGGTTTCAAATTAAATTACGCACGTAAATTTTGAGAAACTTACGAACCCGGATTCGGCCTTCGATTGAGAGGTAGGTCAAAGGGATTTTTCAATTATCATTTATTAAAAATCCGACTACCTAGCCGACTAGTACAATAAAAAAGCATTTAATAATAGATGATACATCAAGGTAAAATGTAAGACAATACTAAAAATATCTCCAATAACGTCTCCACAAATTAAAAATAAATACCAATTAATTAATAATTTGTTAAGTTATAAGTTTGGACACAACGAAAATGTACTATAAATATACTTGGAAATACCCTATACAATAATTCACACAATCATAAACGTAAGGAAAACTAAAATACACACAGACCGCGTAATATTTTAAAGTTATACTCACCTACCGAAACTTCGGGGAAGAATACGAGTAAATTTTATCAAAAATGATTTATCATTTAATTGACTTCAACTTTCAAGATCTCTCCTTCAGTTTAGTCGAAGAAGTTTCGTAAAAAATTTAAATATTATGAAAATTAAAAATGATAATTAACAAAAACATTTATATAGGTATATTTTTCACTCGCCTTGCAAACTTTGTAGTTTGTCTTTTACACCTTCTTCCCTGAAGAAACGTTATCTCAGATTTGTTAAAAAAGTCAAGACAGTGTTAATAAGTCCAAAAGGACCTAAGGAAATTACTCCAAAGTGTTACTCCACAGTGTTAATCTCTCCTTAAGGAAAACCAGTGT